CTCTCTCTCTCTCTCTCTCTCTCTCTCTCTCTCTCTCTCTCTCTCTCGGCTAGGCAATAGGGCTAAGTGACTTACTCAGGGTCACACAGCTAGTAAGTGTCAAGTGTCTGAGGCTGGATTTAACTCAGGTCCTCCTGACTCCAGGACCAGTGCTCTATCCTCCGCATCACCTAGCTGCCCCTATTGTCTTAATTGTTCTGCTGGTTCTGCTCCCTTCACTCTTCCTCAGTTCATACAAATCATCCCAGGTTTTTCTGAAACCATCCTTTTCATCATTTCTTTTGACACAGTAATATTCATAGACCATTATATGTTCAGCCATTCCCCAGTTGATGGGCACTTCCTTTGTTTCCAGTTGTATGCCTCCATGAAAGAGAGCTGCATGAATATGTTTGTCTGTGTGCATCCTTTTGCTTTGATTTCTCTTGGGTCATAGGCTCAAGTGGTGTTGCTGGGCCAAAGTGTATACACACTTGAGTAGCTTTTGGGGCTTTGCTTTCCTGAATGGCTGTATCAGTTCTCAGCTCCACCAACAGTAGTAATGGGCTTGTTTTCTCATAGCCCTTCCAGTGATTGGCATTTTTTTTTTTACCAACTTTGCCAGTATGATGGGTGTGAGCTCACAGTGGAAGCTCAAAGTAACTTTAATCTGCATTTTGTTCATTATTAGTGATTTAGAACATTTTTTCACATGGTTGTTGAGAGCTTGGATTTCTTCCTTTGAAAACTGCTTATTTATACCCTTTGACCATTTATCAGTTGGGGAATGGTTGCTATTATAAATTTGTATCAGTTTCTTATGTGTCTTGAATATGAGGCACTTTACAAGAAACTTGATGCAAAAATCTTTTTTCCCAATTACCTTTTTACCTTCTAATGACACAAAATTTTAATATAGCCTTTCAGTGACCTTGATAAACTCTCAGTAAGTTAGTCCTGTTTACAGAATGTATTTAGGGGATGTGTTCTATTTCATTGTGGAATTAGAACTGCACAGATGTATAAGGCCAATGCTTTTGATTCCTTCGACCTTTGGCTTCCTAGACATTAGTGCTGAAAGGGACCTTAGGCCCTCCATGTAGCCCAGCCCTGCACATCAGTGCTTGTGATGGCTGGGGTCAGTTAAAGAATGTTTTTATAAACCTGCCGTGTGCACGGGGCAAGAATTTTAACAGCCCGATGTCTACAACATAGTTGGCTATGACATAGCAGCAGGTTACCAGAGAGAAAATTTGGGTTCATGAAGATGGGCCTCATTCATTTGGACTTTGTGACCCTTCAGCCATCCATGCACCCCGTATAATGTATGTGAGATCAGGCAGGTCAGGGAGGTCTGCACGCTCCCATTCAGGGAAGGTTGGAAGTGTTCTGGATGGTAGATTAGGCTGTCTTGTGTTTTAGTGAATTGTGTGGCAGGCCTGTTACAGAAGTGGAATGAGAAGTGCAAGAATTGCATCATGGAAGTTTGTGTGCTCTGTGTGCTTATGTAGAGGATGGGGTCCACTGGCCAAGAGCACTGGGCCTGGAGGCAGGAAGACCTAAGTTCAAATCTTGCCTCAGATATTTACTAGTTCTGTGACCCTGGGCAAACGATTTAACCTCTGTGTTATGAGCTGCAAATTGCAAAATGATAACACCTATTTTATAGAGTTAATGAGGATCAAATGAAATAACATATAAAATGCTTTGCAAACCTTAAAGCACTATATAAATGCTAGCCATTTATTAAACTTGATTCAGAAAGGAATAACTGAAAGAAATCAGGCTATAACATTACTTCACATGTCCTTTTTGTACAGAAATATTCTTTCTTAGGAAAACAGTTGACTTTGACTTTCTTATAAGCTGAAAAGTTGTTTACCCTCTTTCCCCCTCCCCCTCCCCATTTAGGACAAGGTTTGTTAAAAGAAAGACGGTTTTTGGAGTAGAAGTCAGTTGTCCTGTGCTCACAAGCTGATGTAAGCAGTTGTCTTTCTTAGACACACACAGACACACACACACACACACTGTCTCTCTCTCTCTCTCTCTCTCTCTCTCTCTCTCTCTCTCTCTCTC